GAGGAGCTTCAGAGATGAGAAATCACATCTCTCCTTTCCACTCCAAACTCAAGAGCAGTTGGTAAGGACAAAAAAAGAGCAAAGCAAGGCTCTTGCCGGAGGCTGAAGCTGAGAATTAACCAAAGTACCAGCTGCTCCTGTAGGGAAGCAGCAAGGAAGGAGTTGGTCAATGGATGTTTTTGCATGTTAGTTGTTTGAAATTCCTTCTGGGTGAGCACATACAGATCGAGCGTGCATGGTCAGGGTAACAGGCAGCACTGGGTGAGAAAAACTGTCACCTTCTGAAGGATGGGAGCTTTACAAAACTCAGATTTCAGAGCACCTTGGTTTCTGTAGGCATATGGAAGACCAGGAATACAGTTTATCCAGATGTATTCCTAAAGATACTCCCACAGAAATGCAACCAGTAGCATTTGAAATGAGTGTGTAAGAGTCAGTGACAGCAGCACAGCCACTCACATTAACAGTTAACAAAGCTTAACTCTGTTGAAGTCTTTAATTCCAAAATTTGGAGACTTCAGACTTCAACAATGAGAGGTGAAGGTTCAGGGAGATACACAAACAGATGCCCCAGTGAATTGCTCTCTTATCTTCACCTGAGACCTTGTGACTGAGACAGAGGCAGTTCCTGCTCAAAGGCGATGAACTCAGGCCCTCAGAGGGGTTTCCAAACACAAGGATCTCACTCGGGGTGGCTTCTCAAGGATTTGTGAGAGGCAGCTGAGCAAATCGAGGGTTACAGTTGTTAAAACTGCTATTTAAGAGACCTTTCGTCTGAAAAACCAATGCTAACAGATCCCACCCCCAGTGACCGATCCCCAGGTCTCTGGGCTGTAAGCAAGGCTCTAAATGGACACACTTTCCCCTCCTCTGCTTGCCCAGGTCTCACAGCAATCTCTGCTCCAGCAGTGGTGGTGATGACAGTTTACTCACTGCTCTGGAAATGCCTGGGAAAAGCACTTTATGCTTCGGCCAGGTTTCTCACAGCAGCTTCATCTTCATGGGAGAGGTGCAGGAGGCCCTTGGAGAACTCCGGTCCCTGCTCCACCACATTCTTGGTAGCTGAGTTCAGCCTCAGCTCAGCTGGGCTAAACAAATAATCCTTCATGACTGGCAGGGAGAAAATGCTTAAAGGCTCCGAGGAAGCCACAGGAAAAGCTCCACTAGTGTCAACTTGCTTCGTCCAGGATGGCTGAAAGATGTTTCACACTGACCTTAAACATGTGGTTGTGCTTTGGAAAAACCCACTGGAGTCACCAGCCCAGACCTCACCAACCCATCCAAGGTGTGTCCTGGCTCGGCTCTGGGATGGTGTGTTCATCCAGACTCAGCCAGGCTTTCATTTGGGATTTAATCTTTTAATTTGGGATGCTCTGCCAAGCATCACTGCTGACTCCCAAACCGGGCCTGGCTTCAAAGCACCAAAATTCTTCCTTTTAGGGGAGACCCAACATATTGGAAAGGAAATAGAAGTGTGGACTTTATTCCTAATACTCTTTACTCATCTAACTTCTCCAATCATTTATTAATGTTAATTGTGTTTCAAACTACCTTCCTCCCAATGCCAGCTTCAACACCAGTGAGTTTACCTCACACTCAGCTATTTTGGGACTAATTCTAACCAAAGGGTGTAAGAGAATTTAGTTCTAGTGACAGAGTTGCACCTTCTTGCCCAAGGTCCAGACTACTCTGTTGTACTGCAAGACAAGCTCTGGCAGAGTTAAAGAACGACACAAAGCAAAGATATACTCCATAAAACATTAATATTTTAATGAAAAATCTTAGCTTCATGTTTCTATCCAAAGACACTCAAAACTAGTTTTTCTTCCCCCTTAATTTTGACCTATAATGGGACCAGTTTGGAGATTTTTTTTTTTTGTATTTTGGAACATTTTTTTTTTAAAGATTAAACAACCAGGCTAGCAAAAAGGTACCCAATACATACTTTTCTTATATCAAACAAGCTAGTATTTCAATACAATGTAACTATACAGAATATATACATTACACATATGATCACAAAGCAAACACTACAGGCTCAGAACAGATCTGAAAAAACATGATATTCACATTGATTACAATAACTCTAAAAATGATTGTAACGTTGAAACGGCACTTAGTTTACAAAAAAAGTCACAAAAATATATATAGCCACCAAGAACTATGGTTCCTGAAAAATACTAATAGCCAGATAGTATTATATAAAATGTGAAGTGTATTTAAACATCGTATACATTAAAAAAAAAAAAAAAAACAAAACCAAAAACCCGAAAACCAAGTTCTGTTAGGTCAATAAACATGCCAAGTAATCAAGCTGTGACCAGCATCAACAAGAGAAGCTGTACTGTGGATGAGATGACTGGATATACGGCTGGTGACTGGAGACTGGCACAGTTAAGGGGGTTTCACTGGTACTCAAATGCACAAAGAAGCCCGACAATAATTTAATTCACATTTTATTTTTTTTTTTTCCCTCTTTTCCCTCATCAGGGTTTCACCACAGGGCAGCACCTGGAGTGAAGGCACTGCAGGAACAGGGCAAAGAAGCTGTCCAAGGACTGGGTGAAGCCGGGGGTTACAGGGCAGAATACCAAAGCATGCAGCAGCTGAACGAACAGCGAACCAAAATCACCTTCTGGGGACTGCAGCAACCCTCAGGAAGACTGTAGGAACAGTTGCCACACAGGCTGGCAGCACCAGATTCGGCTTTTTTTTTTTTTTTTTCTAATGAGTGCAACCAGATTTGTAGCTGAGACCTGTGGGACACTGAGTTCCTGTGATAGCACACGTTGAGTTAACGAAAACCCAGAGCACTAAGCACTGTTGCATTAAAAATAATTCACATTTGTGTTTTTTGTTTTTTTTAATGATACATTTCCTCAAATACTTGGAACCCACTGTATTCACCAGGCACCTCTGATGGGGCTGAGGTACCGGCCGGCCTTGAACCCTCTTATCTGCCATCAAGATGCAATGGGATTTATAATGTCTGGAACTGGAGATGAGAACCCTCCAAAACTTCATTTCACCTTGTGAGCAAAACTCCAACATAACTGATCTGGATGAAAATTAGCTATTCTCCACACTCTGATGGTGGGGAAGTTGCGGTGGATGCAGGAGCAGCAGGTGCTCCTCCATCTGCATTCTCTCCATCCCTGCAGGCTGCACAAAGCTTATTTTGCATATAAAATGCTTCCTGGTTTGTCTCAGAGAGAGAGACCAGCACTGTCTCAGAGCTCTCACACCCTGGGCCGGAGGGGGAACCAGCAACCAAGAAGTGACTGAAGCCCTCATATAAAAACTTTAAACCATAGCTTAAAAACAATAAAATCTTATCCTGCATATAGGGATCATAGTCTTATAAAATATATCTGACTGCATTGGCAGCTATTACTTTTTAAAAAAGTTTAAATTCACACCTTTTAGACTCAAGATCCACGTGAACCCAGAACCATTTTGAAGAACAGAGTCCTACTGATCTCTCAGTATGAGAGACTTGCCCATGGTCTCTGTGAGCCTGACAACTGAACTGCAGCTCAAACACCACTCCTGGCTGATTCTGCTTTGAGCAGGAGGTTGAACTGCATCACCCCCAGGGCGCCTTCCAATCCCCGTTTCCCGGGCCCCTTGTCAAGCAGAAGCATCAAAGCATACCTAATAACGGATTGGTTCGGGGGAGGAAAAGGAAGGGGACAAAAGAAAACGCAGTCCAGAGTTCAAAACACTCTGCTAATGTACTAAAAGAAATGGATGCTTTAGGTTTAATCCCAAGTGTAGTTTAAGGCAAGGTTTTTCCAGCTTAGGTAGGCATCCCTCTCGCTCTGTTTGGGATCTAACCACAGTAGCAACCGAGATTGTTTTAAGATGATTATGTTTTTACACCTCTCTCGTGAAGAACACCAGCATTTCAAAGAACTGAACACTTCCAACCAGTTAGGGAAGAGAAATAAAACGGTATTTGCATTTAAATTGTGTTCATTTCTATGGAGAAAAGAGATATTAACAAGAAACAATTACAAACAGGACAATTAACATGTAAACTCAACCCTAAACCAACCAAGCAAAATCCTCCAAGAACTCCATTGTTCCTCCAGTTGAACCAGACAGAGAAGTGAGAATTAAATGAAGATGTTACCCAGAGATGAGGAGAAGATCATGTGTAACACCCAGTGCAATAACAATGAACCCCAGGCCTTGCCTTACACCACAGGGTTAATGAGCCTCATTTCTTTTCAAGGAAGAACAGATTAGAGCTACAAAGGCTTGTGACTTTTCCCCTTCTCTTTGGCATTCAGAAAGCACTTTGCCTTCTGACTTTTAGGATTTTAAGTCTTAAAAAAATCCAATATCCAGATACGTAATTTGTGTATTATTTCCTCATCTCCTCCCCAGTGAGCTCATTGCCAAAATACTTAACGGGTCAAAATGATCAGATTCTAACAGATTCATCTTGGATTGTTATGTCTGTGCAGTTGAGAAATGTGGTTCTGGGTGAAGCACTTCTCAGAATCACAAAGGATTCTCAGTTACCTGCATAATACTTATTAGAAAGAAAAAGAAGCGAATTCTGTATTTGAGTTCAGTGTCGTAGCCCTGTAATTCAGGATAAAGCTCAGCAAAAGGCATTGTCTTGTCTCACTGGCTTCTCAGTTACAGAAATCACAAGTGGAAGAGAAATGGTCTTTAAATTCAGCCCATCAGCAGGACTGGGCTGATTCCCAGGACAGCAAAAGCATTTCTCCTTCAAGCCCTTTTGAGAAGCCTCCCAAAGGTGGACACACGAGACTGAATGGCAGCACGGAACTTTGCAGCATGTTTCTAAAAACACCCTTTATCTGGGGGAGAAACTTCATTCCAGCAACTTGGAAAGTACTTAAATCCCAATGGCTTTCACTCTCTTTAAGTAAAATATGTGGGTTTTAGCTAAAACACAGCAGAGAAAAATTGCTAAAGTCACTGAAACCCTTTAAGCTCTTTCCAAAGGTCAATAAACTTTTTTCCCTCACAAAAGTTGGCTATTAATAGAAAGAACTCGGACCCAGAGAGCATCAGAGCTGCCTAAGCTGCCTGAATACAAATTGATCTGCAATATAATACGACTTTTGTGTTTCTTCAGGAGCAACCTTTCTCTACTGGTTTCATTTCCTCCTCGTGTTTGCATAAAACAAATCCGGACAGAAAGCAACAATTTCCAAAAAAACACGACTCGAAACTAAGGGAGTATTTTATGCCCCTGGAATACTAAGATCAAGCAATACCTACTCGCTCAGCATGTCATCTGTAGGCCACGGGCATCTGGCATCAAAAGGCTTGAGTGAACTTCAGAAGCTCTAAAAAAAAAAAAAAACAACCCCAAATCTCCTAATGGACTTCCTAATTTAGGTTTCAAAGCAGTTACTGGAGCCCAAACAGCCTTGACAAAACAAGACTCGCTGCTCCGAAAACCCCACACCCGGAATTTTTCAGCTTTTTCTAAATATGGAAAAATGAAATTGCAAATCTTTCAATTTATTGCTTTGCTTGGGCTGTGTGTGTAGCTGGAGTAATGGCCTTTAATAAACCGAGTTGGCAAGGATTTAAAGTGTTTTGAAACAGGAACAATTCATCATTGCTATATAGGCTTTTTGTAAACAACCCCCTGTTGGTTAGAAAGTTGGCCTTAAAGAGAATAAATTGCTTGTTTTGTCCAAAACAGGCTAATAAAAGTCTCTGAAACTATACATGCATATGTAGAAACAAAAAAAAAATGTGCAATAATGCACAAAGGAGATTATTTTTTGCCATCTGTAAACTCCCTCTAGCTAGCTTTCAGATTAGTAAAAATACAAAGTATATGGGAGAGGAAGTGATCAGAGCTGCAAATAATCTGGGAAAACCTTCATTTTCCTACGTGGTTCCCCATCTACAGATCCAGTCAGGAGATGTCTGTCAGGTTTGCACAGATACAACCTTTTCCACGATCCCCAATTCCTGATGCCTTTTCCACTAACCTTGGCTGGGCAGATCTGGACAGGCTATTTGATCCAGCAGTTTCTAAAAAGACTGGAATAGAAGAAAGTAGGAACACCTGGCACGATTCACTTGGTTTGTGAAAACTGATTAATCTGAGATGGGAAGGGACAACGTGTTTTGAAGAAGTGTGTGACTGTTAAGTTTCAAAACTACTCGCACCATTGCCAAGCACAGGGGCACGGGGAGAGCTCTGAAAACCAGCAGGCACAGATAGGAAGTGTCATTATTTTTTTTTTTTTTTTATGCACAAGATTAAAGCATACACTCAAAACTGTTCAATCATGATTTCCAATGCATCCTTTTTGTTTGTCACTCGAAAAAGGTCCCCTCTGATTTCTTGCCCTTCACCAGAGGGTCTGCAAGAAGCAAGAGAAACTTAATGAGCTGCTCTAACTGTGGAAGAAGGAATAGTTAAAGTGATCTGAATCAGTTGTTCTTCTTTAGAAGTGTATCACAGCTTCCATGATGTTCTGACAAGATCTCTTTTTTTGTGCAATCAGTCTTAAATATTTTCACAGAAGTGATCATTCAGTCATGAAAAATAATGAAACATCTGTCGCAGTTTCCTGTTTAAAGCGTAGCTTACAAAGTAAAAAGGGGAAAACCTCCCCACTTTTTTTTTTTTTTTTTTTTTTTTTTTTTTTTTTTTTTTTTTTTTTTTTTTTTTTTTTTTTTTTTTTTTTTTTTTTTTTTTTTTTTTTTTTTTGTTAAAAAAAAAAAATTAAATTAAAATGTACAGGACCAAACACAGGCACTTTCCAAAGAACAAAAGTGAAACCAAGCCATGAATTATTCGATAGTGATGGATGACAGCTCCGGTTTGGGAGGGTCACCCGCAGCTGCCTCAGCAGTGGCGTTAGTCTTTGGCTGCTCTGGCACATCTTCTTCCTTTTCTGCCAACCCACCCAGAGACCCCAAGGGGAAAGTGCTTTCACAATTCTGAGTTGACGACACCTGTGAAATGACAGGCATTTGGACAGAAGAGTTGCTCTCAAAGCCATGCTCCCCTAGCTCATACTGCCCGAGGGTCTCCTCTTGCTCCTGGTTTAAGTAGTCCGGTACTAGGAAGTCACTAGAAGAGGGGCAAAGGACAGAAGACAAATGTCATTTCTCACACAAACATCAGCAGTATCAGTTTCTTTGCAGCAGTTACATCACACAAGCTACACACTGAGAATATCCTCATTTCACACCGCTGTGAGAACGTGGCGGTGACACGCTCCCCCCAAGCACTACCACCTGCTTCTCATTTCTGCACCCAGAGAACTTCTTCAGTGGCATCTCTTTTGCACCTGTATTTTCTGCACAGCCACTTCTTGTCATTTAAATTGTATCACCTTGATGAGAATGAAAGTTAATGTCTGGAACATCACATGTCGCTGAAAACCTCGCTGAAAAAAAAAAAAGGGAGCGCTCAGCCTTTAAAAATAGAAGCAAAAATGAGTTCAGCAGTGGGAAAATGTGAGCCTTTCCCACCACAGAGGTAAATCCACCCTAGACCAGCAGCAGCATTCCCTTTGGAGTGGACAGGCTGGAAGCAGCAAGCGCTCTGCTGCAGTGGGAGGTTGTGATGCCAACACTTATCACACTGCTGGGGAAAGCAGGGAATTGCCTTTCTTTCCCCTTTCTTTCCAGGACAACACTTCTGTAATGTCCTTTTTACCAGCTGAGGGCCGAGTGGATCCAAAGAAAACCCACCAAACTCTCCAGTAGCATTTTCAGGGCATGAGGACATATGGAAAATAAAATTTCTTTGCACGTTCTCAGCACCAGACACGAAGTCTGTACTTGAGACAAATATATATATATTACATATATGCATATTTGTATGTTTTGGTTCCTCCTGGCAATAATCCAGTTAAAAGCAGTCCTTAAATGACAGCAGCATTCACTGCTTCAACTCAAACTCCCATTCAACTACGCCAAACTGGTGTTTGTCAATTCAAACTGAAGGAAGGGCTACAGGCAGCTAAAATCACACCCTACAATCTGACTTTAATTTGACAATGCAATGCTTACCACAACCAGAGTTTTCGCTCTGGTTTTGGCCCGAGAGCCAAGAACAAAAACTGTGTAAACCCACAGATATGAAGCACTTGTGCTTTCAAACAACATTCTGCTGGAAAAAAAACAGTGACTGGCTTTCCTGGGTTTTTATTTGCAATGTTTTCATCCTACGTGTCACCTCTGAGTTAATCAAACAGGACAAAATGCCGAAATGTTTTGTAGGGGAGAAAGAATAATGTCTGGAAATCAGGAGGGGTGGGACTGTGATGCTGTAACTTCTGGAATACACTTCTTTTGCACTGCTGAAGGCAGATGATTTACACACTCTGAGCTGCACTCCCTGCAGAGTGAAACTCTACAGGTGATCAACTCTCTCTGTAGGTTTAAGAGCTGGGAGACCTCTCTGTCTTCAATTTTCCTCATCCAACTTTTGTTGTACTTTACATCTCAAATCCTAACTAAGAGAACAGAGTGCTGGTCTGGTGCCTCAGAACCCTTTTCACAGTCTTTAGCAAAGTGCATTTGGGAGATTACGCCCAGTCTTTTGTACCCTGATAGAAAATGTTCAAGTGGCCCTTAGTATTGCCAACCCTCTTGGTCTGATAACTTAGTAATGTTACCTAGAAAATGAAAAAGGGTTTGGGGTCATGCAATCTTTCCCCAGTATCAAGCAATGAAGCAATTACAATGAAGTAGTAAATCTGTGCCCTATGTAAGCGAACAGGCTACGTACAAGATTTTAAACAGAAAATGATTTACAGAACTCCATGGATGCTGTAGTAAAGAACACTATGGCTTCACACCATTAGCCTGGCCATAGGTACTATGGAAAAGAGAAATGAAGTAGCTCAGAAGCAGCCTCTGCATATCCCTGGGTTCTTCAGTGCCCTCCTAGAGAGCTCACACGCTGTAAGACAGACCAGACACAACCGAGAGTGGCGCAGGAATCAATCTGCCTGGAATTAGCTGGCAACCTGAGGAGAGGCACAGCAGGCTGCCCTGAAAGCAGGAAATGACGATTTAGGGTGAGGGGAAAAAAAAAAAAATAAAGGAGAAAAAAAAGGCAAAAAAAAAAATAAAAAAAGGAAGCAAGTTTCCCTGTTAGGTTTTTGCTGTGCACCTCACCTGCTCTGGAAGTAGTTTGCTAGCTCTGACGCTTCATGGTTCAAGCTCCTCAGGTGAACGATTAAATTTCCAGAGTTGGTGAACATGGCGCCGCATGTTTTGCACTCGTAAATCCGAGGCTTGCGGATAATGTGCCGGGAAACCCGCATGTGGTGTTTATATTCCCCGAAGGAAGTGAAAGTGGCACTACATATCTGGCAGCGGAAACAGCGTTTACCTTCGTGCTTCAGGCGGTGCATCTTGAGCGAGTAAGCGCGGGTGAACTTTTTCCCACAGCGGTCACACTGAAAGGGTTTAATGCCTGTGGGAGAGAGAGCACACTCGTGTCACCTTCTGCCACCGCAGGGCACGGGCGAAATCCCTCGGGAATTCTACAGCAGCTCTCACAGAAGCTTTGGGAAGAGAGTCCCTGGTTAACTTGAAAATGGCAGGAACAATGAGGATGGAGCTGCACTCGAAATAACCTCGGGAAACAGGAATTAAGGAGCCCAGCCCAGAGCAACGCTGAGCTCTGTTTAGGCACTGCTACAACTGGCTGCAAATGGCAACTCAGACCATCCACAGGGTTCTCCCAACCTAACTTTCTCCATTTCCCAACTGTGACCTCCATAGTCTCCGTCCCCACGGCTCAAACTGAGCACACGGGCAGGATCCTGAGGCACAGCCAACACGGATCTGATGCCGCCGCCATCGCAAACCACCTTTGAACTCCCTTTGATCTCAGGAGATTCTTGTGCCAGACTGGTTCCCAACAATGCAATTATCAGCCTACCCTTAATTAATTGCAGTGTTTTTCTCTGGCTGCCTTTGGCCTCAGAGAAGTGTTCTGGCAGGGGGACTGTGTGCACACGGATACCCCTGTAATGCAGCAGGAATGATGATAAAAGGGGGAAGCAACAGCCTTTATATCGCGTGGGAACCTCGCTATGCAAGCATTTTCAGCAACTCTCCATGACAGACAGCTCTCTAAGACAGTTCAGCTTCATGCCTCTCTTTTATTTTTTTTTCTTGTATTAATTTAGAAATTCAGTTACTAGTTCATTTTTCATTTCTTACCCTAAAACATATGAGCTCTGCAACGTGTTCCAGTGGCTGAGTGTGCAATCACACCCAAACAGAAGTATTACAACATAATGGTCTGAACCACCAAAAACTTCAGATTTAATAAAAAGCCTGAACTCCAGAAAGTGGGGAAATCCAAACATGAGGCCAAGAATCTGCAATATGGAGCTCTATTCATAATAGGGCTGTCAAGGAATAAAAAAGGTTTTTTCAAAAGGCTCAATGTGCATCAGCCCGGGCTGGTAATTTCCCAGGTCTTTCACTCTGCTTTCCTTATGTTCAAAGCAGGAGCTGAACTTTTAATTGGGGCTTTTAGACAGAGAAAGCTGTAGTTAAGGTTACACTGAAATGCCCTGTTAAGCATGTGAAAACAAGTTAATACACCAGAATATGGGCTGGTGGAGCTCAAACTTTTCACGCTCTTCTACTGTCCAAGGGCATCTATTTCCTCTGGTAGTTTGAGGAAAATCTCTTCAGCCATTTTGCTCATGAGAAAACACTTCCAACATTTACAAGCCTTGAGAGTTTCTTTTGCATGTTAATTACTCTAAAGCAGCTATTCAGATCTCTCCCAACTTTGCCCGGGGGTTCCTAGTTGACAGGTTGGCCAGAGATTCTTTGCTGTCAGACTTTTAACAACAGGCTTTGGATAATTTCACATCTGATACACCCACAGAGTTTGCTTTTTAAATATTAACCACATATATGGTCATCTTGCTTGAAGGGGTTTGACAAATACTTGCTGACAGGGAAAAAAATTATACCTTGACAGTTGCTGCTCTGCCCCAAAAAGGTACATCCTCTGTGTGCAGGTAAGAGTCAGGCTCAAAGCAGGAGATGCTAAACCATGAGGTTTAGTGCCCAAGAGGAAAAACTCTTCAATATTCCCTTTATTCATTCAAATGTCAATGCTACTGCCAGATAATGCTGACAAGTCTTGAAAACATCAACAGCAAAGACACTGAGATTTCAAGCTTGGTTAGAAAGCAAAATGAGTGCATCAATTTGGGGATGGAGGTTCAGAGGAGGCAAACATAAACCTCTGTAACTACCTACAGGAGCTAAATTGATTAGCGAACCAATTCAGTTGTCCTGCAATCCCTCCAAAAACTCTGAGATCCAAAGGCACAAAACTTTCTTCAGTGCAAGGAGAGATAATATTTTCTTATGGCTGCAAGTCTCCTCTAAAACACAGCAGACAATTACAACACGTCAGAGGAAGAATTTCAACCTACATCACTTCCTTCGTGGAATAAAAGAGCCAGGTACACTTTATTTCATCTCAAATCTTTATCATGAAATCGCCTTACCCTGATGAGTTTCAGGCAATCAGATGCACACAAATGCTAATCATCCCTGAGCAGAGCTATCAGCCAGACTCCACGGCTCAAAACAAGCGTTCAGCCAGACACTCAGCTCCTCAGTCTTGCTGAAATCAGCTCTCCAGGCGGTGAGTAAAAAAAAACCTGCATTATTATTTGCTGCACAGCGAGGCTACAAATGAGGAATTGCCGGGAGTTTCTCACCTGAGTGGATAAGCATGTGTTGTTTTAGGTTCTGAATGCGAGTGAAGCGGACCCCGCAGGTGGGACACTGAAAGGGTCTGTCGGGACCGTTGGGGCTGGGCCTCTCTGTGCTGCTGGTGGAAGGAGCAATGTAGAGCTGGTAGGGGTACTGAACGTTCTCCAGACTACAAAGGAAAAAAGGCACCGATTTATAGGCAAGCCAGAGGAACAAGCATGGAAATCTGAACCCAGAGCACATTTGGACGAGGAGCAGAGACCGGCACGTCACACCTCAAAGCTCTCTTTATGCTGGAAATCTCTGTCTCTACAGCAGTGTCTGACCTACACCTGAAATCTTAGTCACTGACTCTGCACCTCTGAACAAATCCAGGGAATAGCCTCTGACTTGTGTTTCTTTGGGCAACAGGCCCGAGCACAGCTGCAAACTGAACTTTATTTTCCAGGCGTGGGCATTTTCTCAGGCGTATCGATGACTTGCAATCAGCAAACAGTCCCCGAGGAAGAGTTTAAAGAGCTGAGCAAATTGAAAGCAAAGGAGTATTTTGCAGCTTCAGTGGTATTTACAAATGAAATTGCAGCCAATTCATTTTTCATTTCAATCCCAGTTCCATGAACAAATATTAGTATCTACAATTACATATTTCTGAGTTTAAAATATTAATCTCATGAATCAATACTGGCTCCTTGTCTGATTCAAACAGCTCCAGCGCTGTGTTTAAAAAACAGCACACAGGCTGTAATAGGAACAATTTAACTTTCAAAGTAATTTATTTAAAACTGACTAATTGCTCCTACATAGCCTCTAGCTGCAAACTGTTTAAGGGAACTACAGTTCTTTTGCTAATCCAAGTCCTCTGGCAAGGAACTTGCTAAAGGGCACAGTGAAATAAAAATAAATCTGCTGGTACAAACAGAGGAACAATGACAATTTGTACTTACCTGGGGTTTCCCTTCCCTGAGCATTAAGGTCTACATTTTTTGTTAAAATAGATATTTCAGCTTGCTCAGAGCCTCCAGGAAGATCAGACATCACTGGCAGCAGGAAACTGCTCTGACCCAGAACATTGCAATTTTAGCTTTACCAAACCATAATGTCTAAAATGTCCTGAGAAAAGAGTACAGTGATGTCTCCTGTCCCAGTCAGAAAGTCTCCCTAACGGAGGGAATCCTTGCTCCTCGAGCCCAGAGGGTTTCCAGGTCAGGCTGGATTCGTGGACTTCTAACATTGAGAGGAATGAAATGTGCACTTTGCACAAAGACATTTCCCTGTGCATCACACAGAACTCCACAGAGACCAGCAAAGGAAGACAAGAATCACCTCTTTAAAATCAATACCTAAATTGTCTTTACCTACTCTGGAAATGGATGTCAATTCAGCTGTGAGGGCAGGGGGTATCTGCTGGAGGGCACTGATGGGTCTCAAAAGCAAAATTTATCTGGAGAGTGTAACACCAGGTACACATGATGAAACAATTTCCTGCAGGAGTTTAGTATCACTCAGTCTGTAAAACCCATAAAGATTTCTGGTCTCACATGAAACTGGAATAATATTTACCCTAAAGAAGAAATGTTATCATTCTTCACTTCTTTTTATACACAGAGAGCTTGTGGAAAAAAGAGATGCTGACAGACTTGTTGCTCTCTTGCAAGAAGGAAGTTACCAGCTCGTGTGCTGGGCCTGGCAGAACGCAGCTCACTGCCACTTCAGGAGCTAAAAATGCCAGCTGAGGGGTTTGAGAATAAATACAAATACACATTCTGATTTTTCTAACCAAATTTCTGATTAACTGTTCTGATTAAGCTGTTCCTCTCTGTGAACAGATCACTGGACAAAGAACAGACACACAGGTAGTGTGCTCAGATAAGAATTACATTTGGGTTTTGTGACATGTTGCTGAGGTCCCTCCTCCCTCATTCCTGCTTTAGGGGACCCTGAGGAGGCCAAAGCACATTGTGCTCCTGCAAGCTCTCTCAGGAGACACTCAAAGTAGGGCAGAAATGAGGAGCCACAGCTCTCCTTTTGTTTCCAGCTTTGGCAGGCTCTCTCACCCTCAAGGCTGGTGGCACCTTCTCTGCCACGGAAGAAACTGAAATTAAAGTTTGGTTTTATTCTCTATAAAACCTTCACGATGAGGTGGGCTGGTTAAAGCAGATCCAGTGGGAATGATGAGGCTCTCCAGCTACCAGTGACAGGCTTGTCTTTCCCATGCTCACAGGGCAAGCAAGACGAAATATCTATTGGTGACATAGTTAAGAGATTATCTTGGAAACACAACCACATTTTCTCTCCCCTGCTTCTTTTCCACAAATACTCCATTTTCCCTGACTTTGTCATAGATGTGGCATTTCACAGTTGAGATCTGTCTGACATCTCTGAGGATTTCTGTACCAGCTACAGAAAAACACAGGTTTCAAATGTTTTCACTGAAATATCCTACTTGCAATTTTTTTTCTTCTTTTCACCAAGAGATTACACACATATTTAATTATGTGGAACTGAACTCAGAAAAACGTGAGTGCCAAAATGCTCAGTGAGCCTAGAAATGTTCTCTATTTGTAAATAACAATTATTATAGAAAAGTGGGGGGTTCTCACTTTATTGGATCAGAAACATTTCACAACTGAGCCTTTGTAACTCCATTTAAATGCAGCCACGAACTGATACAGAGACCAACAGAGCTGAATTACAGATCTATGTTAGAAAAGTGGTTTACAATCCAATTGTGAACTATCAGAGGAAGAACAGATCAGACTTCACTGTGAAACAGTAATTTTAATACTTAACAGATTCCTGTGTGCCTATTAAGCTGAAAATTACATGTGACCTGCTGTTTATGAAACACTGATTATGGAGGAGGCCCAATTAATGATGTTAATTATTTAAGAGAGAAACTCAAGAGATAAGACATTTTAGATTTTGAAATATTTATGATTCTTTCCACAGTGGTAAGGATGTAATATTGAGACTTTTAAATGGACTAGTCTTTTGCTTTGTTTTAGGAATATAAATATATAAATTATATTTTTCAATCTAAATTTGCATTGGTCACTCACAACTGGTTTTGACATTTTGAGAATCTCTATTAATAAAGAAATGTACAACCTGGACTTTAACTGAAGGTGCACTAAAAAAAAAACAAAACAAAACAAAAAGTGAGGGAGATTTTCTCCATCTTGGAATAAGCACAGTCTTGGCACTTTCATTTAAATTTACAAAACAAATCACTTGGTAGAAAATCTTTGTTCTGGAGTCTGAAGTCCCTGTAACTGTCAGTTCAATTGTTTTATAAACAAGGTGTAAATTCTAGTTCATTTTGCTGACGCTTCTGTCACTCTGAGAATAATTATTTTCAAATCTGGTCATAAACTAAGGAAAATATTCTTTCCTCCTCTGCATTTGAGATCTTTCAGTGAGACTTTTCAGTGTGTTTAAAGAGTTTTATATCTTTTGGGTTTTCAAGGCAGTTTGCGCTGCAACTCTGCAATTTTATAGGAAATTTCCCAAATAATCCACTACTGAAGATATGAGTTCCACTTGACTTTGGAATTACAGCTTTAAAAGCCTGGATTGGTTCTAATGCAACATGTGCTCCTGCTATTAATTCAACCCAAGTGCTGGGTGTTATTTTTATACTGAGGTTTGTTAGCAGATAGATAAAATCTTCCATGTCAGACAAAAAAAGTCTTATCTAAGCAGTTATTTTCCCTTTTTAATCCTACAATGGGACAGGTTTGAGATGGAAATGGCAGGGAAGATTTTTACGAGCTACGAACACGCAGCTCTTGGTTGTTATCTCTGTAGGGAGCTTCACTTGACACAATTTCTGGAACACTCCCAAAGGCTCCCACTTCTTCCACAGACCCAGTTATCTGACAAAACACCACAAAAGCCAGTTTGAAAAAAAATGTGCTTAGGAAGGGGATAACTAAGAAGTCAAAGCAGTTGTATGTACCCCTGTATGCCATCACTTGGCTCTAACAGAATTATGACGTATCTTTGACCAAACAGACCTGTTTTAGATTGGTTTTCTCTGCCAGCCTGCCCTTATAAGGGATTCCCTTAAGAAATCACTCAGCTCAGCACAGCAAAGGCTGCTAAATATTTACAGCAAGTGACAGGCAGCATTTTGGTAAGAAGCTACAGGCAGAGAGTTTGGGAGAGGAGATTTAAGGCTGTTATGTGGTTTATGGCAGTAGTGACATCTGGTGAGGTCCTTGTTTTCAGTTTGCTGCTTTTGGGGCTGTGTGGCAGCTTTAGGATTCATGTTTCACAGTAAAGGGGTTTTTTTGAATCCATTAATAAAGAGCAGTGATGAAGAAACAGCAAAACCAGTACTGCCTGGAGATAGACAGGGAATGAAAAGCAAATTCTGACTTTGAGCACCTACATTCTCCTCAGGCATCCACCCTTCCAGAAGCTGATTGCACTTTGAGCAACACAGAGAATGAGATGTAGGAACAAGCAGACATTGTGGGATTCAGGGTGTGAGGGGTAATTACAGCCCAGCACTGGTGCAGGACGCTCTGCAGCCCGGGTTGGTACGTACCGATCGTCATCATCTGCGTGAGCGTTGGTGCCAGACGTGCTCTGGAGTGTGGGCAACCCCTCTGTAACCCCCTCATCGATGGAGCCTAGGAGAGAAAAGGGAAAGTTCATGCAAATAGCTGCTCAAAAAGGGATGGGGGGCATGGAAATACACACTGAGCTTGCTTTCCCAGTCTCTGGTAGGTGGTGCTGGTGCTACCAGAGTAAAATTGCCTTGGGAAAGAAGAATCGTGTTCCCAGTGAGCTTCTCCTCTGCTCAGATTAGCTGCTGAACTGACAACTCCACAAAGGACACGTCTGGCACACCTAGAAAATGGAAATGTTAAATACAGCCAGTTTTCAAAACACATCCAGTACCAGAACTGTAAAGAAGAAAAGTTACATTCACCTAAAGGGACTATCTCATCAATATTCCAGAACTGAGCAATAAGGACCTCAAACCTGCTACACTGCACTAAAACAAACACACAGCTTCATTCCTCTCATGTGGCAAGTGTCAGACCAAGTGGAAAACCAAAGGGAAGGAGCAAAGACATGGAAAGAGAGGCAGAAAATGTTCCTATTCTGCCAAAAAAGCATGAGAGAGCTCTCCCGAAGTGAAAGATTCCCGTCTTAATGTGATGCCACGTTATGGGGACAGTGACAGGAGGAAAATGGCATCTCTGAAAGTTTTATGAATCAAAATTTTTAATTTACAAAGTTACAAAAGTTAATCCCACTTTGATTTCTCCTTCTTTCTCGTGAAATACTTAACTTGAAGTCTACTGAAAAATAAGCCCAACTGCTCTCAGGTTTAATTTTATGCCTTCACCTCTCAAATGCCAACAGCGCTAATGAGTTATGAAAACATCTTCTCAGACACAGCTATTGTTGTAACCATAATAACTTATTTATCAAGGCCCTGCTCCTTTCACATTATAAAGTGCTTCCAAATATAATAAATTGCAAATGAACAATTCCTGAAATTGCCCAAAGGGTGAATAAGAGCTTTTTGTGATATCAGAGAGGCAGGAATGCTTTTATAAACGCACTATAAAACACTGAGATAAATATATGCAATTACACGAGGAAAATACATTCAGGGAAGACAAAGCTGTACTTTAACGTATCTTGCTGCCTCCATTTACCATTATTACATTACTGCATGAAGAAAAACATCTTTGGGAGGTAAAAAGTGCTTTCTGGCTACCAAGTGTGCTGTATCACAGATTAGGTACGTGTCTACTGTGCTAAAAAAAGCAAGAGAGCTGTTTCTCTTTAGAGCAAAAACGTGAATAAAAGCCATTCTGAGGGTGGTTATTATGCAAAGGCCACTAAATATTCATTCAAACATACTCAAAGAGCAGATTTGTACTTTAAAGATTTTTGCCCTGGCACATTCTTCTTCTCTCTGCAGCTGTTTTAAGGCAGAACATGCTGTACTAACACCAGTGACAGCTTTAAGTTTAATATTACAATCATTAAAGCCTGAGATTCCCTACCCTACCGGCTACTTTTCAAAGTATTTTTTGTTTCACACTGTGCCAGAAGTTGAGATTTCACAGCATTCAGTGGCCCCTAACTCTCTCCAATTCAGCCCCAGTCTCATCTTTCCATGTCCCAATTCAAGCTGCTTTTGAAACACAATTTTTCTGATATTTCTAACTCAGATGTCCTCCAAAAACTTCTGCAGGTCATTAACTACTCATTTGTAATGCTGAGTATACACCCAGTTTCTCCTTTTAAGCTGTCTGGGTACCATATATATCACAAATGTAAAAATAAATCTCACTGATTTATAACTTTACCTAATCATTATTTTTACTTGTTCTGTTTTGCCTGTGCTGATACAATTATGTTGATGAGATAATTTGCATGTCTCATCACATGGCCCTGACGAGGCTTTTCCGAAGTTCTGACTATAATGAGTTACAAATTGAATCAAACAAAACCTGTTCCTGAACAAGGACCAAAGGACCACTTTTCCTGGCAAACTACCAGCAAACAAAGCTTTTTTAATTTTTTTTTTAATATATTTTTAATTTATCCACTATTTTTGGCAAACTACATTTAAAGATTTATAAACTGTAAGACAGAAACTCAGCAAAGGTAAACAGCCCTGTCTCCAGTAAATAAAACATTTTCAGCTGGAAAAACCATCACAATCTGAAATATCAACATATGAGCTACACAACCTGGGGAACAACCCAACAGTAAAAGATGGCATAAATAGGAAATATTTTAATTTCTTTTTAGAATTACCTGAATATTTCAACAGCATTTATTGTACTGCAATCCTGGAAGGCTCAGACTGATCTCACTTTCTCCAGAAAAGGCAAGTGTTACACTGACAAAACCAAACAAATAATGCTACCAGGCTACATTTATTTACCTTGCTGTAGTTTATTTATTCAATTAACTGGAGCAGCCTTTCATGTACATATTATGTGAATGAAGCAGAGCAGTCTTCAAACAAAACAGGCTTTATTAAAGATACTTCAGTAAAAAAACTCTACCGACCACAGGTCAAGCCACTCAACTGAGAGCAAAATAGCTGACTTAGGCAAAATTTTGGTAATTAAATTAGAAATATTGCAAACCCTCTTACCTTCTGACTGCCTAAAAGCCATTCAATGCATTCTGTGAGCAGAGGAAAAAAGGGATTGTTCCAGTAACCTTTAAGTATTAGCTATAAATAAGAAGAACCCAAAACTGGCTTCAAATTGTCTTTCGTGGAAAAAAAAGGTTTCTCTAAGCAATTGGCAGCATTTGGAGAAGCAACCTGAGAATCAAATCCCCCCCAAAAATGGAAAGATTCTCAATATTACGACTGTGTGGTTTTATTTCTGTCTGGGGCATTAAGATGACAGTGTTTCACCACTTATTTTGCAAATCCTCTTACAAAGGCCCTCTGTCATGATTATACAAGATTTGATGCCTGATGCAAAGTCCTGGGGTCACCCTTTATGGCCACAGGCACGAGCCTTTCAGATCTGGTGCTGCAGCTCAGCTGACATCACGTCCTTTGGGCACTAATGACAGCACAATTAGCTCCCTCAGTCAGGCAACTAGAGGTAAAAAGGAGCTACCAACCCCTGCTGAATGAGGAGGGCTTACCTTTCTCAGCTGCAAAGTTATTTAAAGAACTCTCAAGTTTATAAGTAATGTTTCATGAAACAAGGGGAAAAAAGGCCGTTTCACTGAAGCAAAGCATAAAAACTCCCGAGGCAGGTTCCTCCAGTAAACTCACAGGTGCACACGTGCCTATCGCAGGCATTTCTGTACGTGCTGATACCTGAAAGGGTCATACCTATGGATGAAGACTGCGGGCTGATCAGGAGATCCTCCTGCACCTGCTCGCTCCCCGGGACCGTCTGCTGGTCGCTCAGGGAGCTCTGGGAAGCGCTCACGGGCTGTGACACCTCCTCGTGCACCTCCTCGTCGCTCAGCCTCTCCACCTTCACTCGCACGTCCTCCTCGATCACCAGGGGAGAACTGGCTTTGGTGCTCTCACAAGTCACATAATCCGCCATCCTCCGGTTGGACTCGGAGGGCCCGGGCATTTCCAAAGTCCGCGAGTTCTCCGCCTGCTTCACCTTCTCCGACTGAAGCCTTCGATCGATCCCGAAAGGGAAAGTCCAGGGGAAAGCTAAGGACGAGTCCACGGGCTGGTTCCTGGACTCGGGGTAGGAAGCCGAGGGGTTGAGCACTTGGGGGGAGCTGGTTTGGGTGTTGCACTTGAGGGGGCTCTCGGGGGACATGACGATGTAGCTTTTGCGCTTCCTGCGCGACTCCCGGCACACGGGGATGGTTCTCTCCACCACGCTGCACTCGGAGGACACGGGGGAAAGGCTGCCGTCCCGGGAGGTGAAATTGCAGTTTGCGCTGTTCTCCTGCCCCGCATCCAGCACCTTCTCCTGCTGGCTGTTGGGCGTGTTCCACAGAATGCTGGACTTCATGAACTCGGAGCACGTGCTGGCCACGCTGAACATCTGCATGTAGCTGGCCGCGGCCAGCACGTCGATGATGTTCTCCGTGTTGATGGACAGCGTCGCCGTGTAGGCGTATTCCAGCAGCGGGATGAACCCCGTCACCGTCACGTGGTGCAGGTCCAGCACGCTCTTGCTCTCGTCCTCCGCCTGGCCCACGAGTTTGGAGCGGAAGAAGTCGCTGCAGGCCGCCAGCACCACCTTGTGCGCCCGGAAGATCTTGTCCTGCACGCGGATGGTGATGTCGCAGAAGTGCCCGTCGTTGCGCAGCATGTTCAGCTTCCCCAGCATCTCCTGACTGTGGGCAGGGGAGTTATGAGTGAATGTTTTAACACCCATTTTCAGATGGTTCTCCCAGCGTTCTTCCCACATACGAGAGATCACGGGTGTCCTGGAATAAAGAGGAAAACTGTCATTTCCGTGTTGGAAAGCAGAAGTCAGGTGGTTTTATAAAAATTCTGCAAGAAGAAAATTCAGCCACGTTCTTTCAGATCAGTTTTTTCCAGGATCCAGGTTTTGCAAGGGACTAATTCTGCAGAAATGCAATTACTTACTTACAATTTTCATAAACATAGATCAAATTGCTTGCAGTCTATCCCTCTATCTATCTATCTATCTATCTATCTCCATAATAATAAATAAATAAACCTATATAATCTTCCATATTTCTGCCACTGCCCACTTAAAACCAAATATCCCACACACTTCACAGAAATGTTTGCAATACTAAAACAAAAGCTTTTTTTTTTAACTGGCAGTGAGTAGAAACCTGTATTTTTATCTTCTGGGCCCAGAAAACTCTTGCTCACGGTTCTTAAACCCGACAAGGGTGCTGAATATTTCTTTTAAGCGGAAAAGATGTCAGCTTGGGTCAACTTACAAGTGTGCAGGAGCAAGTAAATCTCCCAGAGATGGTATTTAATTCCAGAAAAGCTTTAGAGAAACTACAACACGAATTTCCAGAGGCCAGAGTTCAAGCTGGTAAACATAAAACAACAGCTGCCAGTAGCTCTGCTTTCCTGCTGCAGTGCAGGTACCGACTGCCTAAAGCTGCTTTTAATAAACAGTTTTGGACGAGGGTGAGGAGTGATTGAAAATTCCTTCAGAAACACAATGCATTGGAAGCCTCAAAGGAAGGTTTAAGTCTCTATCAAATACATGTATATTGATTTTATATGTGTGATAAATAATACAAGGAGGGCAACTTTTTTCTTACGACAATATAAACCTCCCTTCTTGGGGTTCTCTGCATGTGGGAGCAAACGCTTGTGTTTCGTGCAAGAATGGGAGGTGTGACCCACACTGGCTGCAAGTTTTAGGGCAGCAGCAGCCTCTAAAAACTAAATGGCACTGATTTGAGGAGGATGAAGCTGATCACCACTCACTCCCTCTGCAGTACACAGGGGAAAGACAGTGCCAGGCAAGATGCCACATGCCCAGACATCCCCTGGGATGGAACTGGAACTGCTGTGGCCACCAAGAAAATCAGTTCCTGGGTCTTCTCCAACTTCTTCTGAATTATTTCACTGGAAAGGAAACGCAACCCATCATGTTTCACCTTCTTAAGTCCTGTCCTCACCCCCCCAAGCTTCCATGAAGGGTTTCTGCGTTCCACATGCCTCACACAATTACCATGATATAGAAATATCACTGGGTTAAACATCAACAACATAATTGGATCTGATTAGTTCCTGGAGTCAGCAGCTTCTTCACATCATCCTTCTTTCCCTTCCACGTACACAAAACCACACCACATTTACAAGTTGCTCATGTGTAGATTCTCAGCTACAAAGAGCAAGTTTGGAACAGCTTACCCCAAATGTCACATATTGAAACGGCAGCTGTCAGAGCCCACCTTGTTCTACACACATTACACTTGGCTGGTTCTTGTTGCTGGGGTTTCACTTTTGATACTCAAACCCTTTCAGACAGAGGAAAAAGAACTATTTGAGAGAACAGATTAACTAACACTTGACAATATAAAGTCTGGGAGAAACTGTAAGGGCTGTTTGGGTTTAAAATCGGATTTCACACTAGTGCAGAGGAAGAAGTTTAAGCACAAGCAAAACACTCCCTTCACTGAAAGAAAATGGATCGACCTCGTGAGGCACCTGAACATCCAGACTGTTTGTTCTCCAGCATGAATCAAATGAAAAGCATATTCCATTGATCTCAGACCAAAACACTACAGTAAAAGCTTGTAACAGCATATTCTAAAATGGCCTTGGGATACCCTTCCTTCTGAAATCCCAGTTGCTTGGCACATCAGAAGTCCAGAAGTGCTTCTGTTCAGCAACTGGCTACAAAAGGAATAAAACATTCACAAGGACCATCCACAGAACAATCTGCTGTTTAGAAATAAAAATGTTTAAAATCCATCATTACGAACAAGGAGAGGATCAAGAGCAATCCTCCCAGTTCCTGCAGGCCCACAATAACCCATTTTCCTGGTCAGTTGAGTGAGAAATGCTCATCCCTCGGTCCCTAAGTGAGAGCTCAGCTCTGCTGCCCTGCTCTGAACCGTTCCTTGTCCTGCTTCCCCCCTCTTCTGGCTTCCTTTCCCCCTTCTCCTTTCATCTTTTGCTTCCTTGACCTTGATCTGGTTACAGAATTCAAAATAAAATAGCGGAAGTCAGTGATGTGCAATAAACTGATTTAAATTTATTACAGGAGCAGCGTTCCTGCCACGAATGTGGGATATTGCTCTGTCAAATCACTTCCATAAAATGACTTTTCACCCTCATTGCACTGACACCACCACTCAAACAAGTGGCTCCTACCCAGGCCCCATTATCAGCCAGTCCCTGAGGGAGCTGCTGGACCATAAAGTGCAGGGTGGCACATCCAGGAGTGATTACAGAACCAAAACGCAGAACTAAATATACCTGTTCCCTCGGGAGTGCTGGGGTGGCGACAGCAAGGTGCACACCTCAACTAAGTGGTAAGTGGGTTGGAGCTGGCAAAGTTGTTCATCTTCGAGCCACAAACCACCAGGGATTCTCCAAGCAGGGATCAGGGATGGTGTCACAGAGCCAGAAGCTTTTCCTCCTCCTCCCCACAATCCCGAGGCACACACACCCCTTGCCCACAGCTCATGGAGTATTTCTGAGCTCTAGGGAAACACGACGACATTTAAAGACACTTTCACAAGTTTTAAAGATAAAGATATGGACACTTTAGCCCACATTTAACGGTATTGCACAGACCTTTGCAGTTTAAGATGTTTTTTTTCCAGAGTGCATCCCTGCCCTGGAGATGGGTGGGGATTCACCATCAAGGTGCAGAGCCTTGGAGAAGGGGAGAATTCAAACATGAGCACAACAGGACATCCAGAGCAAGGAGAATTTTGTCCACTATTAGCCAAAAGCAGCGTGAAGGGAAGTGCTACTGTACCAAAGACTGTGCACAATTTATTTGAAAATTAGTTGCTTTTTTTTTACTCTCAGAAGTACTAACAGAGACCTGACCTTTAAGTAGTTCAGGGTAACTCAGCTCATTCTCACTGTCTCAAGGTTACCAAAAAACAAGTTTTAGCAACAGTTACCGAGTCACATCCACTATTCTGGCAATAAACATGTGTCAAGTTTCCATGCTCAGAAACAGTAAAGAAGAAACTGTATTCTATAAATGTAATGTTATAATGTAATGAAACTGTAAGTGGAGAAGGAATTAGAACAGAAGCAAGAAATATTCCTCAGGTGACCTGCCTACTTCATGTGCACCAAGTTTAGCTCCTTATTCGCCTTCTGTTGCGCCTCAAATCACTGGGTTTGAAACGTGGTCCCTACAATAATCTTCTGGAAGAGTCAGTGAATGGAACTCGCAGAGTTGCTCACATTCAGCTTCTCACTCAGTCACATCCTTTTACAACACAAGTAATTTTTAGCACCACAAAACTACCACCCCACCTTTAACCTCCATATCCTGACCTACAGCATGAAAACACTAAATTTTTCTGAACACTGAAACAAACAGACTTCAGATACATAAATGCCACGTTGGCTTTGGTACTCAAAAAGCTCAGGAAATTCTCACCCTTATGGGAATTCTCAGCAATCCCTTAGGTACAATTACTCACCTGTGAGCCCAGGATGGAAATCAGGTCACTAATAATTTTTTTTTAATTTATTTTTAACGCACATCACTCCTTGGGCACTGGCAGCACCATCCCAATCAACAGCAGCAGCCAGACACAGACAAATGCTCCACGTGGATAAACGTGTGACCTGGATCACTTCATCTCTGTCACTGCAGTACACAGGTACCAGCACCCCTCTCTCTCTCAAATTAACTGGTTTGTACACTTAAATTCATGACTGAATCAGAATAACTGCTCTTAGTGTGTGTTTAACTTCTAGTTTGCTATTTCTATTTCAGGCCTGCAACACTTGTGTATCTAAACACGCATCTGTTTCCCCAACAGCAGCTGGCCTAACAAAGGTACAATCTTCACTGTAGATCTTCACAAACTGCTGGTTGGAGCTGCCACACTGTTCTCATTTCAAACAAACCAACAGCACTTTCTAAACTTTATTTAAAACCGTATTTTAACCCTGGTCAGTAAACCTAGTTAGAGCTCAGCCCAACAGAGCCAAGCCCGATGGTATTCATGAAAAAGAGGAGGCAAACAGGAGGCTTCTGTGCTCAAAATCACATCAGTGTGCAGCATCCACTTTGGTGCTGTGGAATCTGTGGAATGCAAACCTGTAACCTTTGGCTGCAGTGGGTGAGAGGACCCAGGGAAATGAACCATCCTAGGAAGTATGCAGGGCTTCAGAAACTTCCATTTCCTCCAGGACAGCAGATTTCAAACCCCCAGTGCACAAAGGAACCACTGTTGAGGCATAAACACGGTTCTGTTAAACCTGAAATACATGCTGAGCTCCAGCCTGAACATGGAGTGAGGTGATGCCATGCCCTGCAAAAAACTGGGAGCTCAGTGCTGGGGCTGAGCTGGCCCTTGGCCCCAAATCACTCCACTGACACCCCCCAGGACACTCCTGTGTCCCTTCCCTCCCAGCTCCTCAGAAGAGGACAACTTTTTGTCTTAAAGAGTTTGGAGGTCTTTTGTTCTTGGACATGTTCTTTGCACATGGGACAGTCCTCTGGGAAGATCTGCTCAGCCAAGAACGGCTGATGGCAGCAGAGTAACTCCAGAGGACTCCACCTGGGAGCTGCACTGGAAGAGCAACTTCACCTCACAAGCTGAAGGCCTGAAATACAATTCTCCCATTTACTGCCAGCAGTAACATCCCCTTCCACAGCAGAAGGCATATAAAGTGTGTTGTGCTTTGTCTGTGTACTCCAGAAACACTGCACCTGACAAGACCATAGATTTTGTAAAGACTCACACCCTAGCTTGTAACTTAATTTTTATTTTTTATTTGCAAG